AAGTTCTGTTATAATGCTACTCGGTGCGGTCATCACCTGTCTAATAAAAGGCATAACATAAAAGCGTCTTTGGTGTTTCCATGTTTTCTACAAAACAAAACCGGAAATCGAGGGTTTATGACGTCACTGGCAGGCGACGCAATGACCAGAGATGAGCCACTATTTAAAACTGCTATTTCTCTGGATTTAAACTGTCACGGGTGGTGGTAGTGTGAAGAGCACGGAGCGAGGAACGAGGAGACCAGGAATACAAAACGAAGGAGTTTAATTATCTATTGCAGGGAGGGTAGCGCTTTCGAGGAGCTGGCACTGGGGCTGTAACCAACACTGAGGCCTCATGAACGTATGGCTAACGTAACGTAATGTAAGACACCGGATGACTGCCTCCTTCCAGCCGAGGTTGGTGGTGTCTGGGAGATCCGCGGGACGATGGTAGGTTATCCCGATCCGAAACAGCGTCACGAGGGTTTCTCCCTCGAGCGAGATGTAGATAACAAGGGGCAGACAGGTGATGGGGATAACTAATAACAAGGAACAGGTGATACTAATAATGTGAAAAGGAACTAGAAGGACCAAATAAGGAAAACAGGAACTCAACAGGAACATACACGTGACATAAACATTCTTTGAAACATTTGGGGTCATGTAAGTACACAAGTCAGCAAAACATATAATACTGTTCTAGTGATTTTTGGATATTTTAATAACAAAATCTTACATATTGTGCCTTTAACTGCTAGAAATTTGTCAACCGAAATTTCACACTGGTGACAAGAATTATGAAATTTCTATGGGATCAAAAATGTTGATATCATAAAGACCTTATTTAAAGCAAAAATACATATATTGTGATATATTTTGTTAAAATGACTCATATCGTGATATAAGATTTTGGTCATATCACCCACCCATAACCCCAAGGAAATAAGTCTTCATTAATCGGTAATTTTCCATTGTAATTGTAATTTGTGTAAAAAGGAATAAAAGTTGGTGTTTTACTGCCTCTAGTGTTCATTTCAGCGGGAAAAATTCTTTTTTTTTTTTTTTGAATTTGCCAAAATTAGGGTGGAGGCACGTTTTCCAGTGAGCCCAGGTTGTGTTTGAGGGTAGTTTCCCAGATTTTATGTGTTTGCTCCACAGTGTCTTGTGTGCGTGTGTGTGTGTTGAAGTGGACCGCCACATAAAAAGTTTGAGAACCACTAGTCTAGTCAATTATTAGTCAACCATTGTGACTCAATCCGAATGACTAGTAAAGTAAACCTGAAATGATGAATTTATGATGTTTTAGGCACTGAGACTATTTTGAAACTATCTTCTTTTTTCTTGAGCGCCTTCTCTTATGATCTATATCAGTGTTTTGATCAGTACTTTATGTCATCTGGTTTCCAATTCTTCATTCTACAATCTTAAGAACGATCACCAGTCTCTATTGGCCACAGTTGTCCAGTCCCTATTCAAGCGCCAATCACCAAAAAGACTTCTATTTCAGTGTGAGTGACCTTGTCTTTTCTCGATCTCTGAAGTGAAGAGGCAAGGTGAGATAAGAGAAAAAAAAACGAGACACTCAAACGCAGTGTGCTTCCTTCAGCTCTCAGTATGCAGAAGCCTCTGTCTGGAGACATATCGGGAGAGAAACATTGGCTTGAAGGTGAGCGTGAGTGGCAAACATATAAGCTCTCCTTTTACCGCAGGAAATCTTCTCACTTCCACCTCCTGCTGAAACATAGATCAGGCACTATGTCTGTTTGTGTCTTAGAAATGTAAGAAATATTCTTATGGCATCTCTAGGAAAAACAGAGACATGGTGGAATACTGATGAAAAATCATAATAGGAGTTCTTTGAAAAGTTTGAATTCCAGAATTAGATATGCATTTTATGTGTCATACACGTAATTTTTCTGAACATATTAATGGCATAACTTTAACAGAGTCTGTGAAACACTCTTGTGTAGTCCTCTGATCTTTCCTTTGATTTATGTTTCAGGAATATTCATGTATGAAAGACTGGCATCATTTTAGAGTTGGCTGATATATAAACAAAAACATAAACATATATACAAGTCTTTTGATGCTTTTGATTCTAATATGTATAAGCCTTTTGATTGCAAGATAATGACAGCCTTCGGGGAAAGTGCATTAACGTCATCACAATATTCAAGCCAAATATTGAGAATGAAATATAATTCTACGTTATGCTGACGCCGTTACTCACAGTTCAAGGTTTCTGTTTTAGTTTTTTAAAAATGGTCAAAATGTCTACTTGCAGAAATTAGGTTAAATTTTTCATGATCAAACCCTAATGAAATACCTGATTCCTCATTACATGACCTTTTTAATATTAAATTTAATAATAAAAAGGGCAAAATGCAGGAATAGTAGTATTATATTCATTTGTTCATTAGTTTATTGATTCCTGAGGTGAAGCACTGTGGTGATCTTCAGATTGTAAGAGGACCATGCAAAGCTCCACTCGCTGTCTCAGTGGCACGGCATGAACAATGTAATTAAATTCATTAGTGGAATGAAGCAGGCAGCTCCTCCAATCAGACTTTATGATGTGGCTACAGAAACAATTCACCTCCTGAAGGATGGGAAATGGATTTGTTATGGCAGAAGCCCCTGCAGGGGCAGAAGGACACTTGCTTGAAGAGAGAGCAGATATTTTGAGGACTGAATGAAACTGACAGGATGGAGAATCGCACAGTGGCTATACACACAACAGTTTGACAAATGACAGCAGAACAGTAAAAGCATCAGAGAACTGCATGAGAAACGACAATGATTTTACATGAATTGTGGCAATTGCAACTTTGTCAACATACAATTTGTAGGATTTTTTTCTTTCACACCACAGAGCACTTATTCCAAGACCTCATGTGGTGTCCTTGCTCTGCTGGAAATGTGGTGCCCGGGGTTTTCTTTCTTGCTGCAGATGCATTGCTTGCCCAGAGTGTCTAAGCTTGTTGGTGACATGACCAAGATTTTGGTATCCTGACAGTGTTTGGTGCTTTTGGGTGTGCTGGATGCTGTGGGATTTGAATGACAAGCAATGTCTTAATGAATTAACATAATGAATAAAAACATAGCCGTATAACTATTTGTGATATAATTGCTTCTCCACTGTTCTCTTTGTTTTTGTATGCGTGAAATTAGGTCAGTCACAATGTCAAAATGACGAGCTGCTCTTGTTTAGTATAGGCTATTTATGTGATGCGATCTGGGAAAACCCGTCAGATGTCATGCTGGGACGTTTTCAGGAAATTTGAAAAAAAGGTTGAATGCCAATTTTTTGTCAAATTAGGTTTTCATTAAATTATTATTCTATAACATCTTGTCTATCATCTCTGAATATATCTTGGCAAAATTCACTTGTTTAGTGCAGAAAAATAGCGATTTATTACAGCAAGCAGAAAAGACTATGTCTTTCTCTTATGTTAAGAATGTTAGAGGAACTCAGCTTACCCTGCCAGTTAGCCTGCCCTGGACCAGGTTTGTTTTCCAGCATAAGTTGCCACAGTGGCTGAGGTTGATCTAAGTTAAATTTGCTTTATGGAACCTGATCATTTGACAATCAGTCAGAGTAAATGAAATAAGCCTGGCCTATTTGGTAAACTTGTTTTATGAAACAGGCCTCGAGGCGTTAGAAGTCAGAAGACACATAAGTTAATTTATGATTTGCTGTCTGTCTGAACCAATGAAACAAAAGCGATCATATTTTTTCCATTGCATCGCATTGCATCGAATCGCATTGTGTTGAATCGGATCGAACTGCATCGTAATAGGGGTGAATCGTATCGCATCGCATCGCTAGCTACTTCATATGTATCTTCAATGTATCGTATCGTTGGCTATGCATCGAGATGCGTATCGCATCGGCCTCAGTTATGGAGATGCAATTTTCTTTCTCTTTTGTTTTTACTCGCGATATTTACAACACGCATTACATTACGTATTTCATGGCACACTCGTTTTATGCGTATTTGGCGCCACCTAGTGTTGTGGGTGTATTATTGACATGTCAAAGTCTAGACCCTGAACATAAGACGACCGCGTTTTTTCAGATGTATTTCCAAGACAAAAATATCGTCTTATATTCGGGACAATACGGTAATATATATGTGTATACTGTGTATATTTATTATGTTTATATAAAGCCACACACACATACAGCATATATATATTTTTTAATTTACATGTATTTGCATGTATATATTTATATTCATATAAATTATATCATATAAAAACATATGTAATATATAAACGTAACATATTTTTCTTGCATGTGTGTGTATTTATATATACGTATATATATATATATATATATACTGTTGAATCGAATCTAAATTGGATCGCACGCATCGTAACAGGGGTGAATCGTATCACATTGCATCGTTAGCTGCTTCATATGTATCTTCAGTGTATCGTATCATTGGCTATCCATCGAGATGCGTATCACATCGGCCTCAGTTATGGAGATGCACATCCCTAATATATATGGCTGAAAAAATGTATCGCCTGATATCATGATTAATTGCATAAAAGTTTTTGTTTATATACCGTATTGGCCCGAATATAAGACGACCCTGATTATAAGACGGCCCCCCTTTTTCCAGATGTACCAAAACATATGTAATATATAAACGTAACATATTTTTCTTGCATGTGTGTGTATTTATATATACGTATATATATATATATATATATACTGAATATGTGTATATACAGTAAATATATATATATACTGTATACATATCTACTTATACCACATCTACTTATTTTGTGTGTTTTTTACTATTTAGTATAACTTATGCAAGCCATAATTACTAATTATTAATATTTTTACATTATTTTTAAATAGTATTAATAGTATAATAAATTATTAGTATTTTATATATTCATTGTGACATTGATATATATCTCTCAAACATGTATTAAACGCACACCAGTTATAATGCATTATCATGTAATATTTCACTTTTGCCTTCATTTCCTTTTTCCAGGTGGTGAAAATGATGATCATCGTAGTGGTGACCTTTGCCATCTGCTGGCTGCCATACCATGTATATTTCCTCGTTACGGGGTTGAACAAGCAGCTGGTTAGATGGAAGTTCATTCAGCAGATCTATTTGTCAGTCATGTGGCTTGCCATGAGCTCCACCATGTACAACCCCATTATTTACTGCTGCCTGAACAGCAGGTAAGACTCAACTTAGAGCATGCCACAGAGATTTATGACACAAATGCATTTTGTCATAGCAACATGAGTGTCGTTCCCTCTGTTTATTGCATGAATAGGCCTTATCATGCAGTAATGGACACACTTGAGATGTTCCTCTTTTTGTGAAATATTACTCATAAATCAATGATTGAAATGAAAGTGTTATTAGTAATCGGTCCAAGTGAAGGACAGGGATAGGAAACAGGCTTAAGCTGACGCTGTGTGAATTTCATTTTTTAGCAATAATCTCAACATTTTAAGTTCTGCAAACACAGAAAAATGTGGACTAAGGTCCAAATGTAGGCCCAAGATTGGATCCACATGGTCCATAAATTATTTCCTATCAAATTAATTAATAAAATTAAAGGGGACGTGAACTGCCTTTGTTTTTTATTTTGTACTGTTCTCTGAGGTCCACTTATAATGTTGTAAAGATCAAAATCATAATTTAGAAGTAATAGGTTATTTTCTGTCCTGTTTTTAACCCTCCTCATCAGAACACTCTGTTTGAATAGGCATGGCGGATTTTAGACTCACAAGTAAACGCCAGCTGCTATGATTGGCTAACAGTTGTGTATGTTTGACAGCCCACATCCTTCATAGATGGACTTTGCTGTGATTTAGGTCAAAAACGCATAAATACTCAGTACATATCAAATGATCTGTAATAACAGACAAAGCAATAGTGATCATGTAATAAAAATAGTTACTCACACACACTTGTGTGGTGCAACATTACTGCTAGATCCAATACAGTTGGCACAGCATCATCTTTTAGTTTCAATCTTTATGAAAATCCTGCGTCGAATTGTGCCTTGTTTGTAAACAGATCTGCAGTAAGATGAAGTGACCAAAGGACCTAGTTCTTACTGACACAGTCTGGCACTTCATTAAAAATAAGGTTCATCAAATAGAAGTTTCTGCGTAGACCTGCGTTTGCCTCTTTTTATTTACACTGCATGCATGATTCGGTGGGCGGGGCTAAACAGGCAGTGATGTAGAAGCAGGTGTTGATCTTCTTCTGTGGAGGCGGTGTTTAGCCACACTATTACATCATAAAGTGGCACATTCCACAAGCTGTTGTTTTGGCAGATCGGCTTCAGTATAAGCTGTTTAACAAGAAAGTTCTGAGTTCTGAAATATACAGAATGTTTTTATAGCACAATGACCTCATGTCAAAAGATCAAGGGAATTTTGATTTCTCAGTTCATGTCCCCTTTAACGTAACACTTTTCCCACTTTTCCCTATCTTTATTTACTCATCTTAATGTTGTTTCAAACATGTATGCTGATATTTTGTCCCATGGAACATGTGAAGGTTCTTAAAAGTTTTCCTTTCTTTGTTCCAAAAGAAAGAATGGAAGAAAGTTATAAAGGTGAGGGTGAATGAATAATGAAAAAAAAGTTTTTGGGTGAACTATTTCAATGCAGCCTAACAAATCTTTATTCTTCCTGTGTGTAGCCGACAGAAAATAAGACATGCAGACGTGAATGTTATAACAACAGCACAGGGACTATTAGAAAGCGCTTTAGAGTCAATGATTTTGTCCAAGGTTTTAATTAAAGGAATGTTCCTGGTTCAATACAAGTTAAGCTCTATCGACATCATCCTTGGTGTGTCGTCGATCACCACAGAAGAAAATTTCGACATTCTTTAGTTTGTTAAAAACTAGAAGTCATGTTTACAGCACACTTACATTGGAAGAGAATGCTCTGATTAAAATGTTCACTGTTAAAAAAGTAAAAAAAACAAAACATTGTAAATGAGATTAGTGTGATTAAAATATGTTTATATCCAGCTTTCAACTCCAATCATGACCATTTAAAGCCAGTACATATGATTACCAGAGAAGCACTGTAAAGAAAAAAACCTCACAAGTATTACATTAGTAATAAAGTCCTATATATGTCTAGGATTATTTGTGATAAATTATTTATAATGAATATTTAGGATTTATTTAAGATTAAAGACATTAAGTCTGTCCACTTAGACGTGTTCAGTGAAATGCACTTTTTTTTTTTATTTCATGACTATACAAAATCATTGGCATGAAATGGTTGTGTCAGGTAGCTTACTGTACCTTACTGTGAGAGCTATATAGAAGTCGGTTATATGGCTCCCCATAAAATGTAGCTAATGACCTTTACACAGTGCTGCAGTTTTTTTTTTAACACTCTACCAGTTGTAGCCTGGCAACCGTTGCTACCCACCATTAACTTGATCAGCCTGGGCCCTGGGACAGTCATAGCATTGACTTTATGTAAATGCACCACAGATGGAATACATGGCAAGACTGGATGATAAATAATCCACATCTAATTTCTTCAGGTCCCATTTGGCTTAGTTCGAAATGACACCAGTACCAGAGCATGACAATTTGCAACCATACGCTATTTAATAACCAGAAAATCATTATCAAAGAGTTGAATACAATGAAAAAAAAAACAGCAGCTGTTTAATGTACCTGGCAATTTTTGATTATTAAAAGTACATAGCATAGACTTGTTATGTTAGCAGAAGACTCTGACTTATAACCTGTGATATTGGTTTTCTCTTTGTCCTGTGCAGTCACTTGGACTTGACAAATTGATCATGTTTAATGGCTTTTGGCCATTCTCATAGATTTTTTCTTTCCATTCTCATTCTTATGAAAGCCTGTTTGCACCTCATGGTAAAAAAAATAAAAAAATAAAAAGGTCATTGTAAAATAAAGTTTTAAATAAGAAACACTCTGTAAATTTGTAGTTGCAACATATATAAAAGTGAAAGATATAAGATCATGCATAAAGGCCCTAGTGAAAAATAAATATACTAAAATGTATTTGAAATGCATTCATTTCATGCTAAGTATATTACACATACATTTACATATTTATGTACTTAATAAAAATACCCTGCAAGCGTACTTTTAGTATGCGAAACTGGTATACTTAAAGTCTGTTAAATTGCAACAACTAATTTTGTACTTAATGCACTGTAATTGTGAGGAAGTAGTGCTGAGGTCCAACTAAAGATATACTAAAGTATATCTGATCATGCTAAAGTGGAACTGTTGCAAGTATACTTTAGGTACACTTTAAATATCTTGCATTTTAAGACTGATCCTTTTCAAATATCATACAATCCTCATCAATAGTGACATTAAAACACGTTTTAGGCTTATTAAGAAATGTGCATTATGCACAAGTAGTACTCCAAATGAAGTTTAATTATAATTTTTATATCAGTAAGTCTCAAGCGATATGTCAGTAAATATTTTAATAGAGTTGAACTATACTTCATATGAAATAACTGTATTTTAAATATATTACTTTTTTACTATAGAGTGTACAATTAATATTGCATTTTTACCCATAGATTTGTTCAGTTTTTCATCTGGTTTTGTATATGTCCTTGTCTGTGCTCAGGTTTCGGGCCGGCTTTAAACGTGCTTTCCGCTGGTGCCCTTTTGTGCGAGTGTCAGACTATGACGAGCTTGAGCTGCGGGCCATGCGGCATAAAGTAGCGCGCCAGAGCAGCATGTACACACTCTCACGAATAGAGACCACCGTCGTAGCCGTGTGTGACCCCTCAGAGCCAACTGGCCACCCAGGCCGGAAGAGCCTTCACAACCACCAGCACAACGGCTGCTCCAACCCCACCAAGAGCAAAGAAGTAACGTATATGCCAAGTGACCTGAAGGAGGAATTCTGCTGAGATGGACTTTGACGTAAGATTCATACTGAAGTATCAAGCACAGCCATTTTAACGAAGCCTCATTCAGTAAATTGGAAGGAGGTGATGAGAATTGAAAAGTAGACTGTTTATTTGTGTCATATCATTAATTGAAAATGCGAGTATATAACACATAAACAGCATCCTGATACAGTAATGTTTTGTAAAGCATGCCTGGTGCGCTTTGCCTTAAAAAAAAATTGAGTCACCCCCAGCACTCATCACCACAAAGACCAATATTGTCCAACATCTGAGGAGCACTTTGTCCATAGCAGAAATTGTAGATAGCGGCTGCCCTTTGATGCCAATCAGGTCCTGTTCTCTTTCATCATTTGGTTAGCAAGGATAGCATGCTACCTGAATGCCAGAGTTTTGATTTCTCCCAGGAGCCGAACGCTCAATTCTTGTTAAAATCTCTCACGTTTGAAAAGGTTGAGACTGATCCTGAGCTGGCAAATGAGCAGGTGTGTTTCCAGCACACGAGCTGCTTGGCTGAATCGTGTAGGGAAATTTGTTAGCTTCATATTCTCTCCTGTTTAATCTAAAACATTTAATGTAATTGATGAGATGGTAAACCAATTGTGCATCACCTTATTAGCATAGCAAAGATCAATTTTGAAATTTGACCTTGTTTTAGACTGAGTGGATGTTTGGAATAGCTTACTAGCATATTATTACTACTGCAGTATGTATGTGCAGTATGCAGATTTTCTGTTTGCATGGAATAACTGGATGACTGAATGAGCACTGCGTGGGATGCTGTATCCCAAAATGCAATGCGTATTACTTTTCATGACCATTCATTTCCAATGTGATTAAAGAACTGGCAGTTTTCTTTGTTGTTACATTGCTTCATTGGTCTGCTGATCAAATTTTTATTTGTTTCTACAATAACTAGGCACTATATGCTAAATTAAACATGGACGGAGCAAGGTCTTGTCAAAATAATGTAGCATGATGCTGTTTGAAATGTTTGCATAATGTGTACTGTGGCACATGCCATTTTTAAAACATAGCATGCAGTGCATACAGTGTTGTGCATTAGATTTGGCCAAAATGCTGTACGTGAGATATTATTACAGTTTAATATAACATATGTATATTTTATAAAGGATGTGTTCCTGTGATGGCAGAGCTGGATTTTCAGCATCATTACTCCAGTCTTCAGTGTCACATGATCCTTCAGAAATCATTCTAATATGTTGATTTGCTGCTCAGGAAACTATCTTTACAACAATTGAAAATGGTTGTGTTGCTTAATATTTTGTAGAAACCGTCATACATTCTTCTTTCAGGATTCTTTGATGGATACTTCAAAAGTCTGTTGTAACATTAGAAATGTCTTACTGTTATTTTGATCGCTATAATGCATCCTTGATGAATATAACTATTAATTTCTTACTAACCTAAACTTTTTGGTGGTGTGCATAATATACTTCAATTTCACATTTGCAAATAGTATGCTAGCTGGTTAGTTAACTCTTAATCAAAACTAATACAATGCTAAATTAATCAGCTAATGCCTAATCAGCCCAGCCGATTAATCAGTTCAACTGACTAGTACGAAATATACTAGTGTATTTGATCCAGAACATACATCTACATCTGCACTAATCTGGATGCATCTGAAAATGGTGTTTTCATTTCAAAGCGCTCTCCATCCACAGTTGCGTGCTTTAGATGTTTCTTGTCCACACGGAAATGTGATAGGATGATACCAAGGGACCACACATAAGTTCTCACTGTATTCATCTACCACAATCTGTTTGTTACCAAAATGTATTGCAATCAATCGCCATTAGTTTAAAAACGCAACTGCCCTCATGTTTTGCCACAGTGTAATACATTTTCTATCATCTTCGCAGAAATGGAATATGAAGATTGTTCAAAGTAGCATAATTTTTAACAATACTGTAAAAGTGTAAAAGTGAATAGCACATAACAGACACATACCAGTATAAACATAGATATCTTACCTCATCGTACCTCTGTGTTTTCAGCTGGTTAGTTAACTCTTAATCAAAACTAATACAATGCTAAATTAATCAGCTAATGCCTAATCAGCCCAGCCGATTAATCAGTTCAACTGACTAGTACGAAATATACTAGTGTATTTGATCCAGAACATAGCCAGGGTATAAGATGACTGTGGCTACATCTGCACTAATCTGGATGCATCTGAAAATGGTGTTTTCATTTCAAAGCGCTCTCCATCCACAGTTGCGTGCTTTAGATGTTTCTTGTCCACACGGAAATGTGATAGGATGATACCAAGGGACCACACATAAGTTCTCACTGTATTCATCTACCACAATCTGTTTGTTACCAAAATGTATCGCAATCAATCGCCATTAGTTTAAAAACGCAACTGCCCTCATGTTTTGCCACAGTGTAATACATTTTCTATCATCTTCGCAGAAATGGAATATGAAGATTGTTCAAAGTAGCATAATTTTTAACAATACTGTAAAAGTGTAAAAGTGAATAGCACATAACAGACACATACCAGTATAAACATAGATATCTTACCTCATCGTACCTCTGTGTTTTCAAATGTATCCTTTTGGGAGAGCATCTTATATGTTTTCATAGGACAAAAATGACATCTCAGTGTAGAAAGAAGGCCTAACATAGAGAAAAAGACACAGCTTCAAATGTATTCAGATTCGTTTAGACATAGTTTGTGTTTTTCTTGTGACGTGTTTCTGCAAAGAAAAATAGGTGCTATTTTTGGTTAACCTGAATCAGGTAAACCACTGAGATTGAGTTTGATTTCGTTGGCATTGCATCATTACTTTAAATGGAAGTCAGTCACCTTTTTGCAGCTGGCAACTATATTCTAGGAGCAATGCTGGTGTAACTACTTGCTTATCTGCCAACTTAGTGACTGGCACAGACTATAACTCAATGTTATAGTGATGATTATAATGTAAAACGTCTTATCGACCTCACGGTCACACGGCTTCCACTACAGATCAACACCTCATATTGTTTTCTAATCATTAACCTCCCAATCTTTGTTCATTCTTCATTCTACCCTTTACTTCTTATTTTTCAGATTTCATTGAAACTCTGCCTGAAAGCTGGTGTTTTGTTTGTACTGTTCAGTGAAGCTTCCAGCTGAGCAGCAGTGAGGGGTCTGTTTCTCAAACTAGAGACTGATGTATTTGTCCTCTGGTTGTTGATCATTGGGCCGTCCACATTCTGTCCTGGTTAGATCTAGTTTGCTTTCTTCTTTAAAGACAGTAGTCATGGAACAGCATTCATCTCACGAAAGAACAGGCGATGATGTTTCTAGGAAAAAAATATGTTTATGTCTGGCCTTTTCCAAAACAAAATATGACAAATATGTTTCATAAAGTGAAAAGAACATTGTATTATGGTTTTCCACATGAATTCGTCTAGTACTACAGTACATTAGAAGGGTTTCTTAATTTATGTAACAAAAGACTGGAGTAATGGCTGATAGAAGTGAAGCTTTGTATGTATCAGAAGTAAAAATTTGATTTAGTAAATATAAATGTTAATACAAGTATAAAAGTAAATATAGTTATGATATATAAACAGTTATAATATTTTAGTAACACTACTTTATTATTATTGCTGTTGTCATACCTCATTTGTTTGTAGTCTTGTCAAAAAAAAGAAGAAAAAACCCCCAAATAAATCAGGTTGAAGATAAAAGGTTTTCCTTAAAATGAAGGAAAGAATTTCAATAGCTGGATGAACCTTACCTTGTTCAGCCTTGGAGTGATGCAAGTGCCCCATTTAAATTTCTCTCTCATCTTGTCCTTAGGTTGTTTTCCAGGGTTTGTACTTGACTTATTTTAAGCTCTGTGTTATGGGAATCTGGAGGGCTCATATATTTAAACAGGTTAATACTTTCCCCCCAAAATTAAAATTCTGTCATTTACTCACCTTAATGTTGTTCCAAACATGTTTGGATTAATTTTTTTCCTGCAGAACATGAAAGAGTATATGTTAAAGAATGTTGGTAACAGTGACCATTGATTTCCATTGTATGGACAAAAAAAAATAAAAAATGAGACAAAAAAAGAACATTTGCAGCAACATGAGGGTGAGTAAATGATCCTTAGGGTTGCTGTTTATTATTATAAATTTGCATAGATCACACTGCCAGTGGAAGTTTCTCCAGCAGAGTATATATTGTTTTCCTCCATTCTCTTCATTTTACCCATTTAGAAGCAATTATGAGGTAATCCATCATTAGTAAACACAAAACAAGATCTATAGCTGGCTTAGCCATAGGCAATGATTGGTTAAGCCTAAGGAGTGCTTGCCACAATCTTGACTCTCCTTAGAAAACATGTCTGGAGGCCTTGGTATGCTCCCCCTTACTGCACCACCAATTGCAAGTTTAATGGATTTCAGGCGATGATGTTTCTAGGAAAAAAATATGTTTGTGTCTGGCCTTTTCCTAAACAAAATATGACAAATATGTTTCATAAAGTGAAAAGAACATTGTATTATGGTTTTCCACACGAATTCGTCTAGTACTACAGTACATTAGAAGGGTTTCTTAATTTATGTAACAAAAGACTGGAGTAATGGCTGATAGAAGTGAAGCTTTGTATGTATCAGAAGTAAAAATTTGATTTAGTAAATATAAATGTTAATACAAGTATAAAAGTAAATATAGTTATGATATATAAACAGTTATAATATTTTAGTAACACTACTTTATTATTATTGCTGTTGTCATACCTCATTTGTTTGTAGTCTTGTCAAAAAAAAGAAGAAAAAACCCCCAAATAAATCAGGTTGAAGATAAAAGGTTTTCCTTAAAATGAAGGAAAGAATTTCAATAGCTGGATGAACCTTACCTTGTTCAGCCTTGGAGTGATGCAAGTGCCCCATTTAAATTTCTCTCTCATCTTGTCCTTAGGTTGTTTTCCAGGGTTTGTACTTGACTTATTTTAAGCTCTGTGTTATGGGAATCTGGAGGGCTCATATATTTAAACAGGTTAATACTTTCCCCCCAAAATTAAAATTCTGTCATTTACTCACCTTAATGTTGTTCCAAACATGTTTGGATTTATTTTTTTCCTGCAGAACATGAAAGAGTATATGTTAAAGAATGTTGGTAACAGTGACCATTGATTTCCATTGTATGGACAAAAAAAAATAAAAAATGAGACAAAAAAAGAACATTTGCAGCAACATGAGGGTGAGTAAATGATCCTTAGGGTTGCTGTTTATTATTATAAATTTGCATAGATCACACTGCCAGT